TCTTTAAAAAAATGGAAATTTTTACACTAAAGCAAAGTGGAAACATAGTTGGGTTTCCTATGCTAACATAGAAATGCTAATGACTTCTATAATGTTCATGAAACCCCAGTTCTGACTTCTGCAACACAGGGATTTAGTCTTGCCAAGAAGTCTGACCGTCAGCTAAATAGCTGTTTCTGGGAGATAAAGCCTTGGAGTTGCAGCTTAGTATGCCAGGAATGAGCTTCTGTCTCAAGGCCTTGGGTGGGTTCTGTGTGATTTTACTGAATTGTAATAAACTTGGGAAGGGCTAAGGTGGGGAGAGGACACTTACTTTCCCTACCCTGAAAGAGATTTTCTCCATAGCCAGGATACCGCTACCAGGGAGCAGTAAATTAACGTGCATTTCCCAGCCGGAGTGGCTTTTTGACACCTGATGCTGTGGCAGTATATTTAGATGATAAGGAAAATCCCTGATCACAGCAGGAACATCTGTTTTTTTTTTTTTTTTTTTTAAGAAGGACAGTTTCCCACCCAGCACAAAGCTGAGCAGCTATTTGGGGCAGCCTCGTAAGTGGAGGATTAACGTCATAATTTAAAAAATGGAGAGTAATTTCTTAGGGCATTTTTCTTGTATAATCTTTTAGATAAAGTAATGACTTAGCTAACAGATTAATTTGTGTGATTAGTAAATTTTATAATCATTAGAATTAAGTATATTGATTTAACATTTTTGATTTATAGTTATAATTTGATTAGTGTTTATAGTCTTGAATAGATTAATTATGACTGCCGTATTTTAACAGTTGTTTACACTAAAACAAATATTTTCAAGTTCAAAATAGAGTGCATAATGTATATTTCAGTGGACAGTGGTGAATGTCTAGTACACACAGTGCCGTAGAAAAGACATTGTATGCTGCGATGTTTATGGATACCCTTCCATCATAAATACAGAGACACCACTTCACAGGCCTGCAGTATGCACTTGTACACATTGTTTGCAGTAGATCGTGAACTAGACTGTGGCCAGACTTTGGGGAATGGGAGGAAGAAACATGACTGAAATGCTAGCAGGACCTGCATATGCTCTCAAAAATATAACAGATATGTTGATAGGAATTAATAATGTATTTTAAAAGTTCTTGAATTGATTGATAATTTAAGAATTTCTGTAAATAACTGAACTTTTCATACATTATACGTACGTTAGTATATGGATTCATTATTGATTTTACATGAATTAGGAAAATTGCTTTGTTGTGAGAGTGAACATCGGTTTTATTTTTCTTATCCATGAACTCCTCCAAGTTGATCCCACAAATCTAAAATTGTAGAATTATTCAAATGCAGTGTAAAAGCACAGACCTTGCCATCTTCAGGCATTCTGTCTCTTAATCTTATTATTGTGGGTTGCTGTGCTGCACGCACTGCATGTCATCATTGACTTACGTGGAGAAACAGTGTACTGTTTTTTCTATGCAATTGGAAATAATCACATTTGCCACAGACATCATATGCTGTAGGTGTGACGTGACATTGAAATAGGCATGTAACAGTGGTATGCATCTTTTAGTGTAAATCTAAAAATACAGTCATTACATTTCACTGAAAATACATTTTACTAAAGTTTATCGTAGTACGTCTTTAAAGCATCCCCTAAACAAATTTAAAAAGAACATATCAAAATGTTCTTTTAAAATTCTAGGATTCTGAAACCATGTGAAATAGGGAGCATAAAAAATGTTCATGAAAAAGTCATCCACATTGGTGTAAGCCACTGTGCTAAGTACTTGGGTTTAAAGGTGAATGATCTGCCCAGGCTTCCCTGTAAGAGTAAAAATAGCAATTTTTAAAATTGGCAAAATTATAAGTTAGAACCATAATTTAAGTAAAATTAGAATATAGTGGTAACAAAAAGCTTGGCATGATTAGTTCTATTGAGAATCTGTGAATGCTTCTTAGAAAGTAGCATTTGAACTGGGCTTTGAAGAATGTTCAGTATTTCTGTAGAAGAAATAATATTGGAAGTCCAGGTCTCAAAGCAAGAATGAAGGTGAAGAAGTTTGTGTGGCACAGCAAGTACCAACGTCTGAAATTCCCTCTGGTCTACCTACAGTGTTTGCCATAGGTATGATGTGATCCAACATACGTTTTAGGAAACTCCTCTGCCAGAAAGTGGTGCAGAACATTGTTAGAGAGGATATGGCTAGAAGCTGTGTCCAGTTAGAGGAACACTCTTAAAATTTCAGGTAAGAGACAAGTTGATCCTGAACTGCTAGGTTTATGGCCAAGGAATAAAATCAGTAAAAATTTTGTATCAATAAGACCTAGCAGCTGTGTGGATTAAAGAGGGAGGATGAAGATTAAAGATAATTCTAAATATTTTAGGGAAGGGTGCCTGAGTCAAAAGAGGGAGCCCAGTTTCAAGGTATCTTTGGGACCTCTTGTTGGAAATTGAGATCATGAATTGAGGAAACAGTTTCTTTTTTGTGACTTGTGTCTAAAAGTTGTCAGGATAGGACATGGTGAAATTGTGCACTTTTTGAACTTGTCCAGAGATATAATCAGCAGTCCATAGATGGCGCCAACAATACCATTTATGGGAAGAGGAAAAATGGTACAGATTCAGTAGGAGCAGAGGGTGGGTACCAGTAGCATACTGGATTCTGGACACCAAAAGGTGAGAATTGTGTGGAACCTGATCTCTTCATTTCAAAAGTGGATTCTTTCTTTTTCTTTTCTTTCTTTCTTTCTTTCTTTTTTTTTTTT